TGAAAAACGATGTGTATTTCACATTGTGTCTGCAAAATTGATGTAGTTGATTATTAACAATCATCTTTCTGAACAAAAAATTGAAATTACCAGATTAGCTGACCTATGGGATAAAAAAAGATATTGAATTCCAGCACTCTGCAAACCAGATGCTTTACACATATATATATTCTAAAATAATTTATAAAACGAGATATATAGAATATTAAGTAGGCACGTGAGTATTAGTCATAAAATTACTAGGCCTATCAAGCTCTATTGATTTGGTTGACCTGAAAAAAGCGAGCTGTACCATATAACAGCTATTGGCTATAACTTTGAAATAGTAGTCAGTTGTGTCCAAATTTTATAAAGAAGACATTTTCAAAGATATTTTCACCAAAAATATTAAGATTTTAGACAAAATGTGGTTTTTTAAATTGTTTTTCAAAACTGTGCAATTGGATATTGATGAAAATTGTCAAATAGTAAAATCCAATAAGATTATAGATAATCCTAATATTACAGTCAGACAGGCAAATGATGATGACATTGAGAGAATTGTGGATTTATTTTTACAAGGTTTTCCTTTTAAATGGAAATATACATTCAGAGAAGAAGAGATGGATGAAGTCAGAAAATTATTCATTCACGATTTTAGAGTTGCTGAGACAGTAATTCCAAATACATTAGTTGCAGAAGAAAATGGAAAAATTGTTGGAATTTGTCAAATGAAATATCCACAGTTTGTACATTTTTTTTTCACTTTAAAATGAATGAACATAATACTTTCTTACAAAAAATATCTAGTGTTAAACCAATGAAATATGGCAATTATCGTGCAGATATATCATTCAAATCTGTATTTAAAGTTATTCTCTCTTCTGGAATGTTGGAATATTTATATACAATGAAGGATGATGAATGTATTATTGATCATTTAGTTGTTGATAGCCAGTGCAGGGGCAAAGGTATCGGGAAAATTCTCTTAAATGCTGCTGATGAAGAAGCAAAAGGCAGAGGATTAAAAGTTAGATTTCCTTAGTTGATTATTTAAAAATTCATCTTCTTTCTTTATAGAAAGTATGTTTGTTAGTTGCACATCACAATGAAAGAGCTAAAAAGTTGTATGAAAATTGGGGTTATATTGCTGCTAAAGCCTATTATGGTACAAAAATATTCATGTTTGGAGATACAGTTAGTAGTCCTATATATATTTTAATAATATTTCAATAATTATATTTTTAGGGATATTATAGAATGGAAAGAACAGTAGTTTAATGTAAAAAGAAATATATTTTCAATGAAGAGGGATGAATAAATCACTCTGCAGCTAATCGATATTATTAATCTAACCACGTGTTCGATGTTAACTTTCAATGTTAATTACAATATTGACTAAAATAAACTGATTGTACACAAAAAATTAGTAATTTATCTATATTTGCGAATTAGAATTATGGAAATTTCGAAATAATTCTATTTTGTAGGAAATAGATTCAGGATTAGGTTTGGTTTGGGTTGGGTTGGGTTGGGTTGGGTTAGACCATACACAGAACTGGTAATGCTGCATTTAAGGGTTAGTCCATTATGTGGTCCAACTCTATGTAAAGGGTTAGGTTAGGGTTAGGTTTTAATAAAAGTTGAACTGGACACTAAGATCTGAGTTCTGGTAAAAGTTGAATAACTTCCACCGAGTTTCAGGAGTTCCAAAATGGAATGCAAGACTGTGGACCTACTGCACAGGTTTGACAGACAAAGCAATGTACTGGTTCATGATGTAAAATTTTGTGAAATATATATTTTTGAGCAACTGACCTACCCTGGTTTCGTCTTCCCCTTTAACAAAGACTCATCAGGGTTAGGGTTAGGGTTTTTTTTGTTTTTTTTTTTGCTTTGGTTTTGTCCAGTAGTTTTTTTATGATTTATGTATTATTATTAGTTTTTACTTACTTTGAATGGTTCAAGTTTAAACAAACCAGTTTTGATTTTAGTTTCCATGTTAATAGTATTTCTTTACAGTTGGTAAATGTCATTTCTTTTATGTTTACAATCATTATAGTGCCTTGAAGTTTGATGTGATCTCTAACAGTTTGAACTTTACATAAATCAACATCACTCAAACTCTGGTCACTTAAAATAAGCAAGTCCAAGTCATCCGGGAAGTTGATTGCAGGTTGTTGAATTTTGAGAGCATTTGTGAGTTCATCTTCACTCAAATTTATTCCAATATCCAAGAATTGCTGCATCATATTTTCTGTGATTGCAACATTTTTCTGTTTACTTTGAAAGTATTTCCAAGTTTTATAATATGGTCTGTACAATTTAATTGTTCATGGATCAAATTCACAAGGTGTCCTTTGTCAATATTTGATTTTTGCTCACTTTCTTTAACAAGCCACAATTCTTTGTTATAAAATTTTTGGAATTGCAACACCTTATCAAGTTCCTTTTCATCATACAATAGATAACGTGTGTCAGACCTCCAGCTATTATAAATACAAAAAATGACATTCAAAGATTAAAACTCTATTTAAAGAAAAATCCAAGACAACCTCCTTACCATACCCAGGTGATGGCATAACTATATGTGAAATTGAAATATTTGAGTCTTCATTTAATAATTTATACACAAAAGTTAATCTCATTGAATAGAGACTTTTTTGTTAGTTGTTGAGTAACTAAAAACAGAGGCTGACTTAATTTCTATTTGTGGGAAATTATCAAATGAGAGAAAACTTATGAGAGTTCAAAAAACACCTATTCAAGAATTAAAAAAGAAATCTTAGCAATTTCTTGAAATGTCTTCTGAAGTGTCTTTTGCAGTATCTTTATGTCAAAAAATATATATTTAGCAGTCACGTTTTCAATTATCACTCTAAAAGCAATTGGAAATTAATTTAAAACTATGTCATGCAAATTAATTTTTATTGTAAGTATAGTTTCTCTTTTGTTCATTCATTCTCACTTTCTCTCTAAGAAATAGAATATAGGGAGAATATTTGAAAAAAAAACACAACAAAATAGACTATTTGAAAGGGTTAATGTCCAAAGTTGGAAATATATCATCGTATTTTTCTTTATTTTCATATGTGTTTCAATTATATACAATTGAAGAAAATGATATATTTAAAAAATCGTATATCTTTGCTAAAATAACAAATCAGGAAAGAGATATTGCTATTCAAATAAATCAATCAAACTTTTTATGGTTTAAATCAATAAAATCAAAACTTTGTAAACATTCTGAATTTGAACAAGATTTTTCACAAGTTCAATATTTTCTAGATAACACAACAATGGAATCTGCATCTTTTAAGATACAAAATCCTTGTTGTCAATTGTTAATATTTTTTTTATTTTTTTTATAATTTCATTATTTTCTCTCTTCTCTTAAAAAAAAAGTGAACTAGAGAAAGAAAAGATTTTTGAAAGGATAATTTTGAAATGTTTTAAAAAGAATTCAACATGTAAAAAATTTTCATTTCATTTCTTGCTTTTTCTTTAAATATTAAAATTTAAACAAACAGATTTGTTTGCAAAGAAAATACACAAAAATGCATTTCAACTATTGTTGAAGTGGAATAGAAAAGTATTCAACATTCAATCATTAGAAGAAAAGAAAACTCTGTGTAAAAGACATCAATTTATAGTAAATTTTTCATTGCCAATTCAAAATGACATTGCCAGTATAAGATTTATTGAGGAGTATACATTGAATGTAAATTTGAATTCTACTAAGAAAAAACATTCAATTATTTGTAGTTACCTTGAACTTGAAGGTATTTTTTTTATCTCACTCTCTTTCTATTGTTTAATCCACCCAAAAAAATATTCCCTTTCTCAAAGAGTTTAACATAATGAAACATTCAGAAAATAAGTATATGAGCAGTTTGGCAAGATATTTTGTTATGTCAATTGCCAATGATGTACACTATACAATAAATTCAAAATTTTATGGATTCTATTATTTTGTAAGTCAAATGCAAAAAAATGCTGTGCACTGTTTATTTCTTTGTAAATATTTTAATTTAAATATGGGACCACAATTACACTACATGTCATACATAACGCCTCGTTTATTGATAAAGAGAGTAAAAACACTTTACCTTAGCGGTTGCATATTAAACAATAGAAATATCTTAATCAATTGTACTTTTGAAGAAATTCCAAATGAAAGGAATGAAATCTATTCAGCTGATTGCCATTGTCAAGAGAGAGTTGATGGGGCTAAAAATATTATTATTCATGATATTCAAAAGGAATCAAATGTTGAAATCTCTGCTTTTGTTTATGTAATTCATTATGGAATTTGGTATGCTGTAGAAATTTTAACTTATAAAACAATTCAAGTAATATGTAAAAAATATGGCTACATATCTGGAACAGTGCCAACCGAGTTACAACATGAGTACTTTCGTCCAAATCCTCTATATATAGTGAATAGATTGTTTGTTTCACGTATTGATTGTGAAAGTATTTTCTCAAATATCAGTGATTGTAAAATACATTTCAAAGGGTATTAAAAATAAATAATAGGCATTGGTCATATTTTTTCATATTTATTTATTTTTAATCAGAATGTACAGCAAAATAGGTGGAATATCTAGGATTAAATGTTCCAACAAAGGTAAACAATTCCAAATGTCTAAATCCTCTGCTCGAATTAAGAATGTATATGCATATACTTTCATTGTAGTGATCAATTGTCCAGAGAACACTGCAATTCATTCTGGAAATATTTGTTATCAAGCTTTCTCTTATAAAAAGCCAATGCATATTGATCAAATGGAAGAAGATTGTATTAAAAAAAATCAAACCCTTTCTGATTTTCCATCACACAAAAGATTGTATTTACTACATTTTCTTATTCATTATATAAATCTGACAACTGGATGTTCACCATACTGTGATTTTGCATTTAGTAAAGATATAATTTTTTAAAAAACATGATAATTATCACCATTTTTGATGTTTTTTTTTTAAAGAAACACATTTTACAAAAAGAGATGGAAAAGTGCATCTAACAACTTCTTCGAATTATTGGGTTGATTTACTTTCCATTGGAGATTGTGGATATGTTGCAAAAAAACTTTACTCTTCAACTATCAGCTTTAGACTTAAACTCTTCTTTGACTCTGCTTCATATATTACTGTAAATAAAAGAAATATCCATAAAGAGCATTATCATGTATGCCATAGTTTTGACTGTTGGTAAAAAAAAATGAAGATAATTACTGAGTACTATAACTAAAAAATATATTGTTTCACAGCTTCCATTGAATTAAAAAATGAATTTCCCAAAAGTGATGATTTTTATTGTACAAACTATTTTTTCTATTGTAATAAGAGTAAAATTTGTATTCATTCAATTTATGTTTGTGATGGTGTTAATGATTGTTTAACAAATGATGATGAAATGAATTGCTCTACTAAAAATATCCATACATTCTCATGTATTACATCGGGAGAAAAAATTATTACCACTTCTGTTTGTAATTATATTAAAGATTGTTTAGATGGTTCAGACGAAATGTATTGTAGTAAGTAAAAAAAACATAAGTTAAGCAAATATTGCGCAATTTAATTTGTCTCCTCTACACCCAACACTTTACTCAGAATATAAGGATTGTAATGAAAAAACTAGGTTAAAAACTTAAACAATTAATTCTATTCCACCAACAACAAAAATATTTCAAAATCTAGTTTACAATGCCATAACAAGCAGTGTGTTAAAATGGATAATATTTGTGATAATCAGGTTAACTGTTTTGACAAAAGTGATGAAATTTGCAAAAGTTCTAGTGCTATTTTAGATGATAATAAAAAAGGTTATATGCTTCTTTATTGTTATCTTTACACAAATTTAAATGACCTAATTGTTTTTACTTGCAGCTTGTACATTTCAAAAACAAATTCTGTGCCAAGATAATTGCATTTCAAGATCTCTTGAATGTAATGGAATACCAAACTGTGTTGATAGTAGTGATGAGATATCTTGCTCACAAAATCCTTTATGTTCTCCAATTAGAATTTCTAATCAGTCATGCACACTTCAAATAGACAAAAATAGAAATATTTATGCAAATCCTAGTTTCTATGTAGAGAGGACAAGTCTTTCCTGTTTAAGTACTCAATGCTCACCTGATCAATACAAATGTTATAGTGAAGGATATTGTATTCAGCTTAAAAACGTTTGTGATGGTTTAAATGATTGCCTCTACGGAGATGATGAAAAATATTGCGGTTTAATAATTACACTGTAGATTTTTTATTTAAAAAACAATAAAAAAAAATATTTTCTTCCAACAGATTCTTACATTTCTGAAGGATATTTTAAATGCAGATATCAAAATTTATATCTATCGCAGAAGAATCTATGCGATGGCATCATTGATTGTGAACACGGATCTGATGAATTGTTCTGCCAATTTCACAATAATAATGATGTGATAAAAAATTTCAGAAATAAATTCTGTATCACACACTTCGAATTTCACTTTCACTGTTCTCAACCAAATAACCAAGTTAAACAACAAGCTCAGATAATCATTGAGATTCCAGA